TTTTGCACCAACAAGGTAATTTCCAAAGAGTATTAGCTGGAAATTGAATATATCATATCTCAGCATGGTGTGTGGTGGGTCATTAAAACATTTTAGCATACTAGTGAAGTATAGGATGAAATAAGTGTCAGGGCCAACAACAATCTACAGCAGACAAACCTTAGCTGAAGGTAATTTGCTTAAGAAATAGGAAAAGATCCAGAAATGACACAAGACCTGAATGATGCGTGTGGCTCTTCAGTTGATCCGTCTGGTGTTTGGGGATGCCTCATCAGAAATGATCCCAGTGGAAGGGTGGCTGCCAAAAGACCATTCTTAATGATTGAAAACAAGGAGAAAAGACTGGGGTATGCCAAATTATACAAAAAAACTCGACTGAAAATCAGTGCCAGCAGATTTTAGAAAATAAGAATCACATTTTTTTTGCTTCAAATCATCATCAAGATAAAACAGCATAACAGTGTGTGACTACAGCCATCTGTAAAACATGGTGGAGGCTATGTCACAGTTTGGTTTGGGGCGTCATTTCAGACAGTGGTGTTAGGATCTTGTCAGAACTGATGGAGTTATCAATTCAGAAAGTACCATCAGTACATATCATCATTTTGATTTTGTCTGGAAAGCATTTGATTACCTGAGAAGAAAAACATACAGTTGAACACTTAGAGTCATGTATTGGCCTCCTCAGAGCCCGGACCTCAACATTATTGAGGGAGTGTGAGATCATTTTGACAGAAAACAAAACAAAAGGCAGTCAATATTCAAAGAAGGATTGTTACGATTGTAAAAACTGTTTTTTCCTTGTGTAATTCCACGTGTCTTTGCACATTTCAACAAACTGACACATCTATGTTCAAATTTCCTGATAAAATACAAAGACATGAGGGTTAGCTCAAGACTTTTTCACAGTACAGAATTTGGCACATTTTTGGTAGGCTGAGCAGAAACCATACTATTACTTTATTTATAAACATCTCAGAAGTTGCAAAAAGTTTCCAGACAAATAGTTGAATTCCTGATGTTGTTTATCAGGATGCATGCTCTGTGGTTCCAAAGCAGCTTGGGATTCCAGCTGTGCAGCCAACCCCTGTATACAATATTAACCAATGAGATATCTTTGTGCTATTAAGTCAGCCTGTGTGAGGGATGTAAATTCTCCTCAGATAACCTTTGCTTCAGATTTGTTGTAAAGAGACATCATTTTATCGTGTGCAGAGTAAATTGTCTCTGCTCAGTTTTAATTGATCAGTAATTTATTTGTCCAATTATGTTGGCTAGACCTGTGATCGCTAAACATTTATCAAGCAAAAGGTACAATATGGTCAATAATGCAGTCAGCTCATTGTGCTCGCAATATTTTAACAATATCTTGCCATCAATATGTGGCTACACATTATTTTGGAAATAATCTCTATATCAAATCATTTGAAATAGATATTTTGTTACTAGCCAATGCTCTTCTCGTCAACACATACACACTTTTTCATGGTTTTGTGGGTTTTGTGTATTTGAGTGTAGGGTTGTTGTTAAATATATTAGGGTTTCTGATTGGATTTTTTCGCCTTGTGCTTGAAGTTTTGGATTCTGATTCAATTACTTTTTTCCTAATGGCTTTCCAAGTAATAAGTTGTTACTTTTTGAGACTGCATTTTGGTTTATGTTTCCATTGTTGTTCTAGTATACTGAGTTTTGCATTTATTATGATTGGACCACTGTGAGCAACATCAGATGTGAGCACTGCATCGCATCTATCCAAGTTACATGGTTTATCAAAAGAATCAAATTACAGCATTTAAATTTCTGTTAGAATACTTTTAGTTAAGTAAAAAGTAAAAATGACAAACCTGTGTAGGTCATTATTGGAAGTCTAAATATTTAATTTTAACTATGGCAAAACATGAATTACCAACCAAACCAAGCCAACTATAAACTCCAGTTTTGAAACTTGTATTATGAGTATGAGCCAGTGTGCGAAGCTCTGGCTTTGCACTACTGTGGTGTGAGAGAGAGTCCTGTAACACTTTTCTGCAAAATAGAGTATATAATGACATGATTATTTGCATCTCTACTACTCAAACTAGTGACAGCATTTAATGATCAATGAAAATTGTAAATAAATGACACTCGATGAGCATAAATCGGATTAAGAACTTACATTTCACCTTATTTTTCACTCCTAATCGGCCACACTATTTTGCTAGCTAAAACACCGGTTGTGGCGAATAAGGATGCTGTCATAGCCTGTCAATGACGTCGATTAGCTGCATTAATACATATGTGAATCGCATCATTTGCTGGAGCAGCCAGTCGCCGGTCACTCACTGACTCACATTGCAAAATAGCACATAATGAATTGTTATGTGTTTATTTTATTTTCAATTCAGGTTGGATTTTTTTTTTTACGCAGCGCAGACTTTCTGTGTGTGGAGAACATGTCAGCTGTGTGCAATTGTGCACGCGTGCAGCTTACAGGGGACAGTGGTAATAGTTTTTAGCTATGGTCACTCCCCAGCTGTCTAGTTCCCTATCAGCCCTCAGCGTGTGCGTAGTTTTCTCTTTCCTTTATCCTTTGTCCAGCTTTTACTAAGTTCCAGTGAACGTTTTGCTTTGTTCTGTGTATCCATGTGTTCTTCCACCTGCCTCGTTCCCACGTGACTTGCTGTGATTTTCGGACGAGTTATCCAGAACATTTGGCAGGTAATGACTATGTCATGGCTCATTCTAACTGTATACAGAAATTAGACACAAGGCTGAATGGACATTAGTATTACTATTAAATGATACAGGAATGACAAATTAAAGATCCCTTATAACCATGACTTGATTTTAGGTTTATTTTAAATGCAGTTTGTTTTTAGGAGGCTCATAACCACCCGTCAGGTTTAACTCCCTTCTTACCTGTCAAATTTAAAATGTTTTGTCAGTGACTGTGTGCATTTTTCCTTTTTTATTCAGTGTGAAGTGGCTTTACTTTTCTCCCCTTAGGTTATTTTGTTGAATATGTTATTAATCTTAATCTCCTCTCCTACAAGCAATGGGGACATTTTTTTTTTCTTTTACATAACTGCAGCCTTCATCGATGAGCACAACACTTCTCCAGAAACAGGGTTTCATAACGCTAAACTTTTACATCGGGTTGGTAATGTTGAATTGAGAATGATTAGATTTTAATCTAGAGTTTACTTCAGATATGGATGACTTATTAAAGATTATAAAATAAATACACATAAGTTGCATATTACTGATGATAAACTGACATTCAGTCATGCAGTTTTTAGAGTCCAGAGCCCTGTTATAGAAAGTGAGTTCATCAAACTTGATGCTGATTTTAAACTCTGAATGGAATAACAGAGACACACTGGGTTTTTGGATTTAGAAAGGCTGATCAGAGTTGGTTCAGTCAGCTCTGAGTACATTCACCCAGAGTTATGTGTGAACGAATGGAGCTCCAATATCTTGATTGACCATTGCAAGAGGTAAATGAAAAGCAGAGATGGCATTTTAATCCAGTGGACCAAGGAACATGTGTGTGACAGTATGTATGCCGTGATGTTCAGATGCCAAAAGAAAAAAAGAATAAGAATAATTTAGGTGATTTAGATCCAAACTTTAAATTTTCAGAGTTAGTCTGAGTCAGAGTTAGCTGAAGAAAACCTGAGAGACACCAGGTTAGGGTCACATTCTGTTAAGATAACTGACTCTGAGTTTCCCCTCATCCGAGGGATAACAAACTCTGAGATTTCACTAGACCTGTTTTCCGGAGTACGGCACATTCTTATACCACGACCACACAAAGTACCAATTCAATACCAGTATTAAATTAATTAGCTGTATTCATCACCGTGAGGAGGAAATGACTGTTGTTTAGTGTGTGAGGTCACATCAGGCTTGACTTAAACACTGGCTTTAAATAGTAAACTAATAACTTTTTATTAAAAAATATTTTCTTGTTGTTTTGCTGTCATTGAGAGTTGCTAGGCTCCCTCTTCTCTTCCTCTGCTCTCTGTTTCACCCTGTTTTTTTTCCCTATTTATATCCCTCCCCACACACCAGGAGCACAGCAGATGATCGACAGCTGAAGTGTAGATTATGTTAATTGAGCTGATGGAGGAGCAACTTATTATGTTGCTGCAGGTGCAATGAAAGCTTCCCAGCATGTGATAAACCTAAAATTCAAAAGTGAGAGAGTAACAGAGAAGCAGCAATGAGCGAGAGAGATAGCAGACCGTTTTCCCATCATTCTCAGCTAGCTTGGTCCTCTATTTGCACTTGTGTTGCGATAATTTAACAAACAATTGCAAGCAAGCAAGCAGAACTTTTTGACATAACAAGCACAATATATACCTCCACTTTGTTGACCCTTTTCTGTTTGCTCTCTTCTTGCTATATTAGCTTTGCTTCTATCAAGTGTACGAGTGCCCCGCTGACAGTTTATAGAATAAGCATAGAATAACATTCACTATATCCACCTGCTGCAGCTATTTCAGTCAGTACTGGAAAAACTTTGTGTAGTGAACTGGATTGGTGCATCCCTAATACTGTTTTCTTTAAATCATTCATTCACAGTTTACTCAGCCATATCATCCATTTTTCTCTGCTTCTCCACAATTTGTGAGTCGATTTTAAGTTTCAGTGATTACTTGGTCCAGCAATGTCTGCCTGTTTACTACTTGTCTCTTTATAAGCCACAGTGGAGTTGTAATTCTATAAAGTCGGGCCTGCAAGTTTCTCTTGCTTGAAATTGAGGTATAAATAAAATTCTGTCCTTTAAACGCTCTTTCAAACCAGCTACTGGACAGCTTCCAGTAGCTGTCATGTTCCTAGTGCAGCTGCAATAGACTGTGAAAGTGGAATAAAATCTTCATCAATCATAGTAGATGGCCAATTTTGGTGTCAGCCCATCAGAAATGAAGAAAATGGGCTCCATCACAGACACACTATTTTAAACTGGTGTTGAAGAGTGAGGTTTTTTGTTTTGTTTTGTTTTTTTTTTGGGGGGGGGGGGTTCTGCTGAGATCAAGAGGAATTCAACAAAGCCATTGTATCTTGGGATGCTTTGTGCGTCCTTGAAATTCCTTTCTGCTTTTATGAGTATTGCTGCCTTATAAGGAACAGGTATTGCTGAGTTTCGTGAAGCAAGTCAAATGCTTATTATCTGTTGCACAGATGCAGCATAAAAATATATGTTCATTTTTTATCTCATAACAAGCTTTTAAAGCACTGTAACGTTCCCATTAATGATATGCACTGCTGTGCGAATGGCAATGATTATCAACAAGAATTATCATCTTAAATATGCGCCTTCAGGAAATGCTGCATTTTTTTTTCAAGCGTAATCCCTCCTTACAGAAGTGGTAATGGAAGGAGAAGTTATTGAGATGCTTTCTTATTAAGTATTTTAATCCCGACTGCCCTGGAACTGCTGCAGTGACATGCATAGATGTCATAAAAGGAAAGCACTGCCACTACAGGGAACAAGCAGGGCTGATGGTTGTGTTGCCAAAGCCTCATTTTAACCTTAGTCTTCTTTATCCTCATCAGCATTACAAAGGCAAAGCGTAATCTGTATTTTTTAACCATGAAAGTTAGAGTTCAGTTTGTTACCACTCTCAGTTCTTCAGAAAGTATCACTCTACTCAGTAACCTTTAGCAACTTTGTCTGAACTTTTTCCATCTGCCTGGATATCATTATGATCATAAATGAATAAAGCACATACCCTCTTTAAATTTTTGAAGATGCATCACATGAGTGGAATTTTTATTTCATGTCATTATCAATTTAAACCACTGTATTTTTTTACTAACCCCTCCACAAGCAAACAAAAGATGCTCGTGGACTTTGAAGTGGTTGTCATTTTGATCAGATGGGACAAAACTTGATGTTTTCAGGTTTTGAGTTTTTTATTGTTCTGTCAAACTGACACTCATATAAATTTCTGTTTTGGGCATCTGTTGTGATGACTATCAATCATCAAAAATTGCTCATGACTGCTTATGCAAAGAAAAAAATATGACCGGCTTAACATTTAGAATTGCGACTTTTGATCAAAGTAAACTTCTTCAGTGCGCTTCGTGTAGCTGTGCATTGTATGACTTGGAACTTTGCCGCATAGTCATGCTAACAGTAAACCTTAGCATGAAGTTCAAAAAGGCAAAAGTCTGCTTGAAGAGAGTGAGCTGGGATGACAGAAATTGAATACCATGGTTTAATCGGGTATCCCATTTTAAACATGATCTTGCTGTGGCATGCCTTTTAATTAGCAGTGCACAATTACATATACCATGTCTGTGAAAACTAGAAATTTATAGGCCATGATATGGCACTAGTTCTTAATGCACTGTAAGATTTTATGGGCTTTTGGCACCCACCAACATCAAACACCTAAAAATGAAGTTGTATTCTATTATCTAAAAGTGCTCTACTGTGTGCCTCCTACAGAGACTCTGTAAAGATTGTTTGTAGCATAGGATATAACTCATTTGAATTCATTCATAGTACATGAGGATAAAATAAACACTCCATAGTATAAAATGTTCTTTATTTTAATAGAATTTCCATCTGTCCATCTGTTCAGTCAAGTATATTAAGAGTTAATGAACACATTATCTTCAGAGCAGACGTCAACTGTGAACGTAATTAGACAATGTAAAATCCTTATGAGGCATAAAGCTCCATTTTCTACCAAAATACTGAATATTGTTCAGCTGAATGCTGGAAAATGGGTACTTAAGGCAACAAATTAATAATGCCACCGCTTTTCATATCTAAGGTGACAATAAAATCTCAGGACTTGGATCAAATGTTCATGACTCTTAAGCTGCCAAATATGTAAACCAATAAACTTTTTAACATTTGATGATAAATTGTTACTAGAGTAATGTGAAGACAGTCGTCAAATACCCTTCTTTTTCAGTTTAGTTAAATTAAAAACTGGTTATTTAATCTGCTCTTTAGATTTTAATATGTTCAAAACCCAGCCATCAAAAGCATTCATATTGTGCCATAGCGTAATGTACAAGGAAGAATAAAATACAGGAAAAAATATGTATACCGCAACAAGTCAATACATTTAATGACAAACTTCCTTTTATTGGCTGAAAGGAGCACAAACTGTGGCTTATTTTTCTTATTCAGTGTGTTAACATGCACACTTCTAATTTGACCATCACCTGGTAAAGGAAACACACCAGGTATTGAAACTTTCTGACACAGTAAAAATGAGCCAGTTCACAAAAATGACTTGTCTGTGACAATTCATTGCGACGCAGCCTAGCATTTGAAGTGTTTAGACGTGGCTTCTAAAAGGAAAAACATAGCAGAGAACACAGGGAAAACTTCAAAACACAAATTAATGATTTTGGAAAATAGTTAAAAGGCCACAGCTCACTGACACACAGCAGGTGGTGAAGAACGCTTACTTCCTCTGTCTCTAACCTGCCAACTGATTCTTAATGATGTTTAAATTTCACAGAAACAGGATATAAAAATGTGCTTTCTGGTAAAACTACAACGTCTTTGTCCTGATATGACCTTCTGATTTTTTTTAATACTTACTGTGTGTAAAAATGACTTGCTTCTTTATCTGTCAAATTTAGCAGTGTTGACTATTCTCACTTTCTTCTGTTTTTTCTGGATCTCTAAAATTAAAAATATCCACGTCTTACTTGTCAGCTGCTAGTGATGGGACAAAAGGAAGCAGCTTTCAACTTTGCCCTGTAAGAAGGAGAACCTGGGCTCTAATAATGGGTTACTGTGCTTTGTTTATCCATGAAAGCAGAAATCAACAAACAGGAGCAAGATGCTAACAACAAGTCCTTTTTCTGCTGATAGAAGGACCTGCAGGTTAATCTCCCAATCCTTCCAGATAGTAATCCCTCTATCTTGTAAACTGTAGTCCATGTGCTTTGTTTAAAATATTGCCTCAATTTTGTTAGACACACAAAATTAATGAGTGCATGTTAACATACTGATTGCGTATTGCCAATACAAATTTACAGAAATTAGAATATTTCAAATTCAACACGTTTTTTGTTTTGAAAGATTCAGTCCCTGAAGTAAAAAAAAAAGAAAAAAGTCTAGGGTATATAGTCAAGATGCGTTTCTGCTGTGCAATTTCTATCGCTCATAAAGAGAGTACATATTTGAAGCAAGTATAGTATGCATCTCGACTGCAGTTTGTAAGCTTACATGATGTCCTTTTGAGGTTCACATGATTTTCATGTTGAACTGCACCGGTGCCTCAGTTGGGCTGGCCTCCTCTGTTTCCTCTTTACGTGGCACATATTCAGCCTCTATACTTGACTTTGTATTGTCTTTCCCTCTACTCCAGAGGAACAATATTACAAGACAGAAGAGGACCACTCCAAGGAAAGAGATAAATCCCATGGTGGTTGCAATAATAAGTGTCTTTACATCAAATGGAAATGGAACTGTGGCCCGGGTCACATTAGCACCTTCATCACTAGGCTGGTTGGAAATGAAGGCAAATGTCTTGTTTGGTTGGTGGGGCCAATTCGGGGAGTAGCTATGCACAAAAAGGTGAGCAGCTTTGGTGTCGTTGCCTGCCGCATTGCTTGCAATGCACGTGTAAGTGCCATTGTCCTGGATTTGGGCGTAACGCACCTCCAAAGTACCGTCATTAGAGACAGAAAGTCTTGACCTCATCGTTTTGGTAGTGATGTATTCCTTTTTCGGGGACAGCCACATTATCACAGGAACTGGATCACCCTCGGCCTGGCAAGCAAAATTAACTGTAGTTCCTTCGTCTACGTGGCTTTCTTGAACCTTGTAATCCTCGATCTTTGATTTTTTGCAGTTGAAGTAGTCAGGAGGGAGTATGTCTGGAAAATCCTTAAACTCTTTTCCTTGCACAACCTCTGGTGAAGCACACATTGGCTGTTGCCTGTTGAAGTTTAGCCTCCATCGCCGACGGAAGACCCAGAGCAAACGACAGTCGCAGGCCAGTGGGTTGTCATACAATGCCAGTGTCTCCAGGTTTCCAACTGAATGAAAAACAGACTCCTCCAGAGTGCTCAAGGCATTGCTGGATACATTGAGTACACGGAGGTGGTTGAGGCCTTTGAAGGAGTAGGGCTCAATGGCAACTAATTTTCCACCAGCCAAATGAAAAGCCTGGAGCTTCTGTAGATTGAACAGCTGGTTCCCTTCCACAGTGCGAATGGGATTGAAAGACAGATTGAGAAAACGAAGATATCTCAGGTGACTGATAGCTTGGTAGGGGATGACAGTAAGATTACAATTTGTGATGGATAGTGAAGTGAGATTGAGTCCGAACAAGCATTTTGGGGTCATGGTATCCAGAGAAGGCATGTGAGATATCTCCAGTACTCTTAGTCGATATAGCCTCTTAAAGGAGTAATCCCTTATGACAGTGACGTTGAGATAGCGTAATCGAAGTGACAACAGGTTATGCAAATGGCTAAGGGCATCAGTGGGCACTGAGGCCAGATTGTATCCCTCAATATTGAGACTTTCAAGGTTGCTGAGTCCGTGAAATGATCGGGGTGAGATAAAAACGAGGTCATTGTCACCAACTTCCAAAGCCCTCAGGTTGTACAACTCCTGGAACATATAATCGAGCAGAATGACAATTTTGTTCTCACTTATATCCAGCTGGGTGAGGTTGTTCAGGCCTGTGAACACCCCAAGCTGAATAAGCTTTAGCTCATTGTTGCGCAAACCGAGCGTCCGAAGGTTCATGAGGTTGCCAAAAGCCCCAGGCTCAATAGAAGAAATTGCGTTTTCGTTAAGTTGCAGTTCCTCCAGCTGAGGATAATTAATGAACTCCTCAGGCCCCAGGGTCTTCAGGCGGTTCTTGCTGAGGTCTAACAGCTTTGTTTCAGTGGGGATGCCCTCAGGAAGACTTGCTAGTCTCCGCCGATGGCACACGACTGAACGCTCCTGAGCGTTGCAGTCACATCTGGAAGGGCAACCAGTGGTGGAGCCAGAAAGGACGGTGCCCAGCATCAGGAACAGGATGGGCTGCCAGCACGCCACCAAGTAGCTGTGCCCTCCTGCCTCTCCAAACACCATCCTACTGCTTACCTGTAGAAACATGGGAGGGGGGGAATGGATTTTAGGAATTAAAAGGTATGTGTATTTGCATAAGTTTACATTTGTCTTATAGTAATTATCAACTTTTCATTAAAAATAAAGAAAGCACAGTAACACTGAAATGTTTTCCTATATAGAAAAGGAAGTGTTGAAATCCCATTCACACTATGTGGGGCATATTTTGTCTCCTTTTTGCAAAGTCAGTGGAAATCACAGTTTCACTTGTATGATTTTATCTGCACAGCTTCACAAAGATATAAGCCGCCTACCCCCTTTTCCTTGCGTATAATTTCATTATAGTGACTTTCCTCACAAGTAATGGAATTATCCAATCAATAAAAGGGCTTGGTCACACAGTGTAACAATCCTGCTGTGCTTCTGTCTTCAGAGTGCGCCGAAGACAATTACTGCAAATATTAGTGACACGTTGTCTCTCCACATAGACACTTTTTTTTTTTAAAATCAGACAAAAATGCTGTGGTACATCTTTAAATGGCTCCCCCAAACATCCCATGCTGTTGCTAAGCTGTTGACCTTGAAGTGATATAAAACAGAGATTGCTGCCAAGTGGTGATAGATAGAGAGAGGAGGATTGTCAGAGGACTTTAAACCCTTATTTGATTTTGACTCAGGGGCACTTTAACTTGGTAAAACTTTCAAGCTCTACTTCTCACATCAATCACACAATTTAAGTCACAGCTCTATCTGTGGGATACAATCTTCAAAGAGCCTCATTCAAAGTGATTTTGTCATTTCATTTCATTGGTGGCCTCACCTCTGTTTTGGTTGATAATTAATCCCTTATATTTGAATGGGGAAGAAAAAGCATCTAAGTGCCTAAAGTAGTAGTATACTCTAATACATTTGAAGTAGGAAATAAAATTTCACATGATTATCAAATGATTAAAGAGAAATATCTTTGTGGGGGTTTTTTTCTTCTCAAAAGTATGATAGTTCATTATGAGAGGTTAATAGTCTGTGTCTTAATATTCATCATGTTGTCATAAGATGCTGAAGATGAATAAGCGTTCCAGATCCTGTTCTTACCACAGAACAATGTAATATGAAAATGCTTCAGATTTTCTGTGCAGTGAATTTTGGGACCTGCCCGACTATCTTAACAGGCAGTAACAGTTTAAAAAAAGAAACAAAAAAACATTCAACTTTTTATTGAAGCTCTTTTTTCAGCGTAGCAATACAAATTGCACCTCTTATTTAATTAAAATCATGGATCTGAGGCGGCTTGGATTGTGGTCTGAGTAGCTCCAATGGGAAAATAATTGCAGCCTCCATTTTCACTTCCTCCAGAACTGTTCATTCTGCTGGCTGCTTATGTCAGACGCTATGGGCGCCAGTCCAGCATGTATGGGGATTTGTAAAAAAAGAAAGAAAAAAAAGAGTGAAAAAACATGCTGCCAGAAATAGAGGTCATCCAATTATCAGATCTGATATTCATATTTTTTTCCCCACTATTATGCTGTTAAAAAACTATTCTTGATAAAGTGAATTCGTTTAAAGTGGCTTTCGTGCAGTCGCCTCTTTCTGCAGTCACCACTCTGTGTTCTGTTTGATTGGTTACGAATCCCAAATAATAGCCTTTCACTACAGATGGCTAAGGGCAAAGAGCACAGACTAGAGCGAGTGAAGGTAGGCTTCACAAATGTACGTAGCCATCAACTATAGCGATGCAGATGTCAGGTATAGCAGTGCATTCTCATCTCAGGGCATCAAATACTGTTATTTTGATCACTGATATGACAAAGATATGCACGATGTTATCTGTGCTTTTAGACTTGAGTTGTTGCAGTATTGAATGAAGAGTGGTATTATTTTTGTGTTTTTTTTTTCTAGGTGGTATCTAAAATAAACTGAACAAGAAGCACAACACACTGGAATTCTGTTATTTTTGTGGGCTACACAAGCAGATAATGGAATATTATATGCTATGCTTATGCTAGCTGCTACGCTAGCACAAGATGTCCCTTAGATAAACATGCTTTTCTAGAATTATTAGCCAAAAATAGTGCAACAATTAGTTTAAAACAGCGGTCCCCAACCCCTGGGCCACAGACCTGTAAATGGTAAATGGCCTGTATTTGTATAGCGCTTTACTAGTCCCAAAGCGCTTTACACAACCAGTCATCCACCCATTCACACACTGGTGATGGCAAGCTACATTGTAGCCACAGCCACCCTGGGGCGCACTGACAGAGGCGAAGCTGCCAGACACTGGCGTCACTGGCCCTCTGACCACCACCAGTAGGCAACGGGTGAAGTGTCTTGCCCAAGGACACAACGACCGAGACTGTCCAAGCCGGGGCTCGAACCGGCAACCTTACGATTACAAGCGAACTCCCAACTCTTGAGCCACGATCGCCCGGCTCCATGAGTCGTTTGGTACCGGGCCATGAGAGTTGAGGCTCGGGTGTGAAATTTATGGTTGTCAGGGTTTTTATCAGTTTTTATCATTATTATCTTTTATCGTCAACTCAGTTTCCCTTGGTCTCTTCCCGTGTGTTATGAATAAATCTTCCTTATTTTGGTACCAGTACTGATTTTATTTTGTTGTATTTATCTGCGACACCTTAAAGGCTGGTCCGTGAAAATATTGTCAGACATAAACCAGCCCGTGGGGCAAAAACGGTTGGGGACCGCTGTTTTAAAACATGATGTTTAATGAGCAATACAAGCGTCAGAACAGCAAATGATCAAGAAGAAAAACAAATGTTTCCACTAGATAAGAAGAGATAAGCCTTCTATACTGGAAGTCTCACGTTTCTTCTGCCATAGTTTAGTCATTTAGGAAGAGACACGGAACAAAGCAATTAACATAACCGCTTCCATTACATGTTCCATCATGTGAATTTTGCAAACTTTAAACATACATGATCATTCACAGCTATAATCGCTGATAAACTGACTAAATATTTGAAGAAAACATAGAAAAGCACATACAAAAGGACATAAGGAGTGGCAATTTGCTGAAAAGTGACATTTCTTCAGGTTAGCACAGCATGCACATATCCAGCTGAAGTAATCATTATTAGTCTCGTTTCTGCTATAAAGTCAAAATGAATTAATTTGGGCTTTCTGTTATTCAACATTTTGACAAGACTGTAATATTTTGCAGCAAAAACATCAGTTATTAGTCTTAATTACTAAAAACTGATATTGGTAACAGCTGTAAGTAATAAATAAATAAATGAAATGAAAATAGGTTAATCTCTAGACAGAATGGACACTTATTACTTGCATTTACAAATTGACTGCACGTAGCCTCTTACAAAACGTTGGCAAAATATGTTCTAATATGGACAAGCTACAGTGCACTGCATTTAAACCCCCAAATCCCATTTATAATGTAAGCACATGTTTAACTTTGATCCACTGTGTCAATTTCTAAACCTCAGATTGTAGTGAAATATTATCAAGACATAACGCGATTATCTGTTTAGCCCCAAATATGAGTTTAATCTTGTCGAGAATATGAATGAAGATGAGGTATGCCGATGTCGCTGCTGATCGAAAACAAGCAAGCTTGAATGCAGCCGTGTTTTTTTTTTTTCTTACTTTTTAACCAGAGTATCATGCATAATTTATGATTCAGCGTGTAGTAAGGGCAAGGGTACTATCTGTGTAATCTGGCCTTACAGTCCATATCTACTCACTGTATCACCACCTCGTTTTGACCTTGAGCTGGAACTCTGGAAACAAAAGCTGGGAAATAAACTCTCATCTGCAATCCTTGTTTGTAGTTTATAGTCTTTACATGTTAGCGTGAGCTTTAAAAAAAATGCTCTCTCCTTTGAGAGAATTTTATCGCTTGATCTACTATTTCACATAGTCTTTGTCGTGACCCTGATTATTTCCATTCTTTTTTTGAAAGCATTGTGTAGGAGGAGAATATGAGTGGACAAGCCTTTTCTCTTCTGCCCTTTTATGACTGCTTGCATTTTTCTCTGCGGACCTCTCACCCTGTCACAGTCTTCTCTCAAAAGCATGTCTGGGCTCACCATTAGTCTCTTGTTGCCTTGAATCGCTGCATCTCCTCTCTTGTGGTGCTGTGTGGTTTGATATAGGGAAAACTGAGAGAAATGTGTGCACTGCTAATGGGTCACTGAATGTCTCCAAGTAGCATACAGACAAATGACCTATATGCATCAGTGCATACATGCCCTTTAGCTGTTTTTAGTTATTGTTAAGTACCTATTGTGTGGCATAATGTTAGAAGGTCTGTTGTAGTATTTACATTGAAAGGATGCTTCAGTGTTTTAAATAGAATGGTTATTAAACCTGTTCTACTTTTTTTCTTCTTTAGAGGTGGGTAAAATACTGTCAGTTGTAGCATCAACGTATTTGGCTAGATTTGCTAGTTTGTTTCCATGTTTCTAATCCTTAAGTATATAAGCTTGGGTCTTCAACTAGAGCTTGAGGATCCTGTGGAGTATCTTTGCTGTTCCTAGAACTGCACTCTTCTGGAGCTGCATCTATCACTACAGCCTTCTTCCTCTGCTTGTTCAGCACTACTATGTCCGGTCAGTTTGTCTCTATTTGGAAGTCCCACAAACTCTTAGCTCGATCATGCTCAACCACCCTAGGAGGCCTAGGACTTCCAGGGCATACTCGGCACAGATCTTCCTGTATACTATGCCAACCACTTGGTCATGGTGTTCCATCTATGCCCGGCCTGCTAGCACCTTAAACCCTGCTGTTTTATGCTGGATAGTCTCAGGATCATTTTTGCACAGCCTACACCTGAGATTTAGCTTGGTGTGGTAGACCGCAGCCTCTATCGTTCTTGTGCCTAGAGCTTGTTTCGGTGCTTCCATGATGCTTCTGTCCCAGTATCACGGCAAACTATGTAATGGACATGCCAGTCCACCATGTCCATTTCACAGTTTGCCTCTTAAAAATGTGAAACGGACACGAATGCAGAATATGATATCGGGGGAGATAATATATTTACAGCCACAAAGACAGTACATTCCAGT